ATCTTAAGTTTAGTGCTAAGAATAAGAACTCAGACTAACTAAAAAAGTCAAATAGACAAGCCTAGTTTTTTATCTGCAGCCTAAACATAATTAGCTCTATATTATATTATATAAAAAAAATAATAATTCTTAATTTTTTAACTCTAACTCTAAATTTTACTAGAAGCAATTATATATAGGTACTAAAACACTATAGGTGCATTTTATAATAATTCTATATTTAATGCTACTATATATAATAAATATAATAAATATTTAACACTATACATATAATAAATATTTAAAGCTATAATAAATATTTAACACTAATAAAAATTATATAAAACTATTTATTAGATTAAGATTGTGCCATATTACTATATTACTTTAAAAGTCAGATCGTCACATGTATTTGACTAAAAAAAAAAGATTGATTTTGCTGAGCACTAACTAAGAAACAATTTCAAAAAAGAAAAAGTAGAAGTTTGAAAAGAATTGAAAAAATTAAAAAATTAGAAAAGAGTAAAGAAAAGAGTAAAGATGAAAAAAATAAAGAAAAAGGTAACAAAGAAAAAAGAGTAAAGAAAAAGGTAAAGAAACAGCTAAAGAAAAAGGTAAAGAAAAGGGTGGTAAAGTTGAAAAGGTTAAAAAGTCAACAACAGCCAAAGTTCATAGTAAAGACTATGAATCATCAGTAATATATTTGAAAAAAAAAGAACATAAAATTAGAGAAAATGCTAAAATAGAGGAAATTCAAGATACTTTGTAGGCTGCAGATGAAGCAGAGTGTGTAAATAGTTCAAGTGAGTATGAATTTGAAGAAAATAACTAGAAAAATTTTTTTTCTTTTATTTTCTTTTGTTTTTTTTTCTTCTATTTTTTTTTGTTTTATTTTTTTTTGTTTTTTTTTTTATTTTTTGCTTCTTTGTATTTAAATATTATATTTTCAATTTTTATATTATTTTTTGAATACTTTTTTCATTGTTTTTCTTGCATGTTATTATATTGAATTTATAATAAAATTTGATAATTAAAATTGTAACATTAATGATATATATATAATAAATGGTTTTGTTTTACAAATGACATTAGTAAACTGATTGATTGATGAAAGTTTGACAATTTGTTTCTATTTAATTGTTAAATGATTGTGTGCCAATTTATAGTCGAATTATATAATACCGAATGTATGTCATTTTTGTGCCAAATGGAAAATGCCGAGTGGCATGTGATTTCTGTCATTCAGCACTTTTTCGACAATATTAGATTTAAAAAAAATCACACATAATTTGCATAGCAATCGCTTATAAATTGGTATAACGAATGGCAAAATTTCGACTAGTGTGTATACTAGAGATTGTAGTCTATCAATTAAAGTTCATGTTTAGTTATTGGTCATGTGGATTATTTTACAAATGGATTATGTATGGCCCGCGGAATATCCTTTTTCCGAAATAATAAAGACATAAGTAATATAAAAAATATTTATATTTAAATTTCTTTGCGTATTATAATTTAATAAAAAAATATTAAATCGATATTATAATAAAAACATATGTATAAATTCTTTATAATTTCAATTAAAAACCATATTAAGAAGTTGTTTAAAAGCTTGTTACTATTACATCACTCAACGTGGTAATATAATGATAATTAATGACATTATTTGTTACATAATTATGATGATAATATATTTAGTGCTTTCTAATATTAATAATAAATGTCATTATGTAATATTAGCTATAAGAATATTTTAATAATATTTTTATGCTTTTGTCAATTGTTTGTTTTTTAGTTTAGCTAGAATTTAATAATCAACGATTAATTTTTGTAGCAGTAAACGATTAAATTATAAAAATAAGTTATTACTTTTTGCAAATGCGAAAAACTTCATACTCATCTACCGAAAAAGTAGTAGACTCAGTAATGCTATCTAAGTAATCGTCTTTCTGACACGAACAACTTCCTTCTAAATTGAAATTCTCTCTCATAGAAAGATCTTTATCACCAAAACATGGGCCATAACCCCTTCCATTGAATCGAATAGCATAATAAGATCTTTGTCTTGATACACGACTCAATTTTGCATCTTCGACCATGCCTCGATTTCCAAAAGTAAACAGAAAACTATCTTCAGTATTCCAATAACCATCGCTTGCCATCCACATGATTGGGCTATATCCACCAATAATTTCATTAGTACCGCGAATTTTCATCACCACCACAGTTCTACCTTTTTCATCACATCTATCATGAAAAGTGCCAGAGTCAAAACCATCTCTCGTTCCTCTAACAAGTAATTGGAAACGATAAGGAATTTCATCATAAAGATAACGTTTTTGACCAAGACGATCAATCCAGCTTGCTAATAAAGCAGCATGACAAGGTCTGACAAGAGCGGAATCAAATTGCAATCTTCGAGCCGATACAACAGGTCGTGGAGGAGAAGAAGGTTTCAAATGGTATCTCATAATATCTTCCAAAATACCCGGGGGCAAGATACTTCTAAACGGCCAAACTTTATCAAAAAAATCCGTGGAAGAAATTTGAGAGAAACCAATAAGTGGTATACAATTAGCGATAGTTTTACCCAAAGCATCAAAATTGTCAGGAGTCCAACTTGAAATTTTAGCAATATCTAAAGAAGGATTTTGAGCAACGCCCCATCTAATAATATAATCCCAAATTTCTACTTCTTCAATTTGCAGGTTATCAAGCTTTAAGAATGGTTCAAGTAATGAAGAATCCATAGATAAAAATTTATTAGATTCAAAAAGGTAATGAGGGTTTTTGCAAATGATCTGAAGACAATACTCTTGAAGTTTTCGACAAGATTCAATAAGATGAACTTTTTGCCAAAGTACAATAAGATTATTTTGAAGCCAACTATTTTGTTGATGAAGAAGACATTCTTGTACATGATCAGACAATTCGGTCAATAATAATTCATCTGTAGCAACCAAGAGATCAAGAGCATCCATCACACTTTTGTCAGTCATGGAAACAGTTCCACTATAAATAAACCTATGATTGAATAATTTTTATTTGTCATAATGATTCACTAGAAAAATATATCATATAATAATGAAAAGGGAACCGGTATTTCCACACCCTTTTTTTGGTAGTTCCACACCCTATGTAGATCACCCATTTTTTAAAACTTTTATCGAAGATATCTCGACAACCACTAAGTGAAATTCGATGAACATTTTTTCTTTAAATTCTATGGATTCGTAAAATTCAAAAAAAAAAAGTTCATTGAATTTTATTAGGTGGTTGTTGAGATACTTTCGATCAAAGTCATACATAAATTTGTCACAGCTAACATTTTAATAGACGTTTAAGATTTTTCTAAAACTTTCATCGAAGCTATCTTGACAACCACCTAGGTAATAAATCTTTTATTGATCCAAGTTAAAAAAATTTTATCGAATTAACTGAGTGGTTGTCGAGATATCTTCGATAAAATTTTTAAACAATATAAGCCGCGGCAAATTTGTGCATGACTTTGATCGAAGGTATCTCATCAACCTCCCGGTGAAATTCAATGAAGTTTTTTTTATTTGAATTATATGAATACATAGAATTTAAAGAAAAAATGTTCATCGAATTTTATTAGGTAGTTGTCAAGATAACTTCGATGAAGGGTTTAGAAAAATTTTAAACATCTATTAAAATGTTGGCCGCGACAAATTTATGCATGACTTTGATTTAAAGTATCTCGACAACTACCTGGGGTCTTTGCCTTGAAAAACACCTTACGGTATCATGTACCGTAAGGTCATTTTCAAGGCAAAGACCCCACCTAATAAAATTCAGAGAACTCTTTTTTTATTGAATTTTATGAATCAATAGAATTAAAAGAAAAAAAGCTCATCGAATTTCACTTAGTGGTTGTCGAGATACCTTCGATAAAAGTTTTAAAAATGTGTGATCTACATAGGGTGTGGAAATACCGGTTCCCTAATGAAAATAGAAAATTATTTTATAACTTGTACTTACTGAAGAATAATTTCAAAAACTTTTGGAGAGATGTTTGGCTTTGAAAAAGTCATAAGATCACCATCTTTTTTTGCCCAATTTTTTGAAAGAGCGCTTCGAAAATAAGGAGACCTGGCTCTTAATATGATTGAATGAGCGTGAAATATTTGGAAATTCGGCGACTGACCAACTTCTATTATAACATTACATTCATCTAAACTATCATTTAATAAATTTCCAATGTCGCGAGCCAATGTTCCTAAAAATTTCGAAGACATGTTTTTTTTAATAATAAAAAAAAAGAGTTTTTATTATCGTTATACGTATTATTTAAAAAAAAAAAAACAACTAAATAAAGGCACAATGATTATTTATATACTTTTTTAATTCTTACATGTTTTTAAAGCCACATGATAATTTTATTTTAAACTAAATCAGATTTTATATTATTTGTATGTATTGAATAATATAGATTACGAATGACAAGAATAGAAATTTATGACAATATTTTATGATTGGTAGACAGTAACTGTATTGTTATTCAAAAACAAATCAAGCTTGCATGAGAGTTACAGGTAGATTTTTTCGTTTTTTACCAAATAGATATTGATTTAACTAGTTTCAAACTTGAAAACAAAATATTATATAACGATAATACGTAAAAAGATTCTTGTACATACGAATGTACATAATCATGTGTACAGTTTCATAATCTACCACCATTCTATTAATGTTTCCTGCCGAATATGGATTACCATTACCCGAAATTGAAAATAATTTTGATTTGACGTAATTTTTTATTTTTATTTTTTTTTACTATAAGTTTTAATGAAAGACAATGAAAGTCAAAATGAGATTGAAATTGAAATGTAAAATAGGTACTGTATAGTGCAAACTATGGAGGTCGTACTACTATCCCCCCTCCTCATGAAGAGTACAGAAAAATACCCGGAGGCATATGAAAAATTGCTATACATAGTGTCTCCTGGTATAAATATGCACGAAGTTACATTAAGATTTTAAAATTTCTATTTCGTGCTGTACTTTCGGCATACGTACCATAATATTTTCGGTAGGAAGCATTATTCCCTACTACATTAGTCTTTTACCTTTTTACATACGAACTAATAGCAAAATTAAAGTTGTCATAGAATCAATCGTTGACACCTTGTATTGAAAGAAGAAAAAATATCGATATTATTTACAATTTATAAACTTTTGATACACCGGTAATATTACTAGTAAAAGATTTACTAATTTGTTTAATCTGCAACTGTCTTTTGTATTATGCATTTTTCACCTTTCTATTACTTGTAGACAAGGTTCGACTAGACTATATGAGTGAGGCTTAGGAAAAACCAGACTTCGATCATATAAATTTTATATGACCGAAGTCTGGTTTTCCCTTGGCGTCACTCATGTACAGTCGACTCCCTCAAAGTGCGATTTGTAGTTTTTCTTTTAAGTGCAAGATTTCATTCCTTTTTATATTGATTAAATTTTTCCATGCGCTGCATTTAGAAAGATTAAGTGCATATTGTTCTATATATTTTGGACCAAAAAGATCTTGCATTTAGAGATTAGCACTTTGAAGATAATGCACTTAGGGAGATCCGACTGTAATTGAAGCCAAAGGCAACATAAAAAATCAATAGCTCAATCTTGTATTGTTGACACCTATTCTTTAGGATTCTATTCTTTGATTGGTATCTTAGTTGTAGTACGATTTTGATATGATTTTAACAAATTTATAGTATAGATGTACTAAATTTCAACAATCTCTTGTACATTTATGCTGAAAAATAAGGAAATTTATAAGCGAAAATAGATGAACTTGTAGGACAGTACTACCAAAATCAGTATATATTGATATGGAATAAACGGGCATGGGCGTCATTTTGAAAATCAGATCTTTCAAAAATAGCAAGCTTGGGCGTTCCGGAATAACGCGCACTTCACAAAATATATCATTATACGTATAATAGTAGATTTTGTTACATACAGTACGTATAATAAAAATAAATATGTTCGAAAATAACGTACGTACTCAAGACGGACATTATTCGCGATCTCTGTCTTCGAAATTAATATATCTGACACTGTAAGCTATTACAGTATTATACGTACGTACGTATATGTAGTGCCTCGGACTAATATTTGCGTGAGATTGCCGTTGGCCTAAAAATTGAAGTGTGATTTAGGCCAGTTGTTAACTGTTATTTATTTAATGCTGGTCATCTGAGGTGCTGTAATCTCATGCAAGCGTTAGTCTGAAACACGACATAAATAATTCATATTGACATATGCCGATCGTTATTTTATGTCTGGAAAAGGAGGTTTGCAGTTGTTGCAGTGTCAAAAAGTGAAATTGGGCTAAAATTTTTACATCATTAAGACTACTAAAAGTATAATTAATTACTAATCCAAAGAGGGCTTAAACTGTGAAGCTTAATAAAGATTGTGGGTGGGAAAAGTGAGATCAGGGTCTAGTCTTTAAATAAAAAAAAAGTATTGCTTTTAGACTTAACCAACCCAGTTTAAAATACGCCTAACATAACTTGTAAGAATAACTTGTTGAAAAAATGAAAATACAAATAATATAATACACATGATGGCTATGTTGCAATTTGATTGGTCAAATATAAAGTGTATTTGCCCATAAAAAATGAATAAAGGGGGATTAGGTTAATGATTACATTAGTCTGACCTTTAATTAAGGTCCGGATCTAGCAGGTCTCGGACTAGCTCCGGATCTTTGGCTCGATTTTGCTCGGATTTTGCTTAACACAAGAACGTGTTAAGGTACCACAAAAACCAATAATAAACCCTAAAAGGGCGGCCACATGTGAAAGGAAGGAACACAATATGAACGGTGTATAGCATAACGATAAAGGAGTTTTTGTTATCCTATCAATTTAGTATGTTCCACCCTCCGAACAATGGGATATAGCTTTAATATTCGATACGTATCCATCTTTACTGATCTGTCGATTAATACGTAATAAAGTTTGAAATAATTGTGTACCCTGCATGATTATTTTATTCGATGAAATTCGATGAAATTCACAAGTGGTTTTTCGGAGCTGGATTCACAATTAGCAGTAGACAATCATTTAACAACAATCAATTATGGTTTTATTAGTTGTTTTATTCGATCGATAAACCAATCAATTTGTTTCGCCCTTGATAAATATTCAATATGTCATTTATTTATTGGTACGCATTCGCGGCATTTTGTTTACAAAAATGCAATAATTAAAAATATTTTTATCTTGTGTCCAATCAAAAGACTTTTAGGGATTCTCACAATACCTTATACATATTCTCCGGAGTCACTTTCGTTTCAATTTATTGCTGCAGATTTTCGTCATTACAGATTATAAATTTTTTTTTTTTTAAAAAAAAAAATAAATAAATAAATCGTTTTAATTTTCGTTTATTTTGTGTGAAGAAATAAATAACTTTAAATTTATGTACCGTGCATCGGTTAAACATTGATGTTGCGGAGTGCAGTTTACACTGCTTAGTGATCTAAACTTTCTCCGATAAACGAAACTATGTTTATTAATCCTTTGTCCGAATAAAAACAAAGACCTATGTAATTATTATTATTCTTCGCAATAAAGAAACTATTAAAGCTTTCGTCTATTATAAAGTTTGAAGTTTGAATAAATTGGAATTGGTGAAACGAATAAAAAACCATCTTCCATTGACATTGTCAAAAATGTGACTCTATTGTCCTTTTAACCATTGTTGGATCTGAGCCCAGCCCGACTGTTTACGAATTTATAGTAATGCACTGATGCAAATCTGAAACACTTTGATATCGGTAACGTGATTTTTCATCACATATGACGTGATTACCTTCGAGAAAGCCCTTTGACGTATGTGCTATAAAAAAAGTTCTTTCTTCACAAAGTATCTTTTATATTTACCTCGTGGCTCGATTCTGTGCTTTTTTTATATAACGTTTGCGTGCCCGTAATTTTGATCACTGCTTTGTGCATGCGTTTCTATCTTCTTGCCTACATCTAATCTATTTCAAGTAATTATTAAGTTTTTTTTCTTCATTTTTCACAAGGTACGTAATATCGATATTTTTGATACGCGTTATTAAAGTTAATGTTAATAATTATTTATCTGTTATAGAATTAATATCAATAAAATATATATAATTAATACTCAACAACGAATACGTATGTGATAAAAAAAAAAGAAACCTTGCCCGATTTACTGCATTTATTAAGATATCTCCGTGGTGCTGTGTTAAGTTGTACAAGATACTTCCTTCTCAAAAATCTTTCCAAATGGTCAAATTTCTCTAATAAAAAAAAAACCCGCATTTTTTTACCATCAAAAAAAAAGTCACGGTTAGCAACCTTTTTTTTTTTAACTAGAAACTAGAAAAAACGTGGTCTTCTAATTATTAATTTATTTTTTTTTCTTTTCCTCAAACTTTTTTTTTTTACTAGTTATTTCTTCGAGAGTGGTTGTGCCGAAATATTTCTATTTATATACCAACTTTAACTTTCTTTCTCCTTTACTGCGCATAAGATAAATATACCCTTTTAACAATACTTTCGATACTTATTTACTCATCTACATAAAAAAAAAACCTTTACTGTTTTAAATACAATAAAAAAAAAAAAGTTATTAATATTTAATAAAATTCAATTACAGAATAAAAATGGAAGAAACTTCTAATCCCGAAATAAGAATGGAAGACGAGACTTATCCCGAAATTCTTCATGAAGAACATAATACTATACAAAATGAAAGATTAGAAGACAAAATAACCGTGGACCAAGAGTATAATGAATCAAGTCAGACATTTCAAGATAATATTAATATTTTAAATAACTTGATTCCACTGATTGGTCCCGGCAACCCTCTCGAAGAATACTTTAAAGCTACCCAAAGCTTATCGTCTTGGATGTCAACAACTTTTGAAAACTTCCCCGCGTTTCCATCAAAAACAACCCCTCAAATCGATCTTGATTCCATAAACTCCGCAGAAGTTTCACTAAGCGGAATAGAAAATAAATTATCAAGTAAACAGTTTGAAAATAATCAATTAAGCGACCTCCTAACTAAAACGAACTCTCTTGTTGATACTTCTTCTGATGAGGAAGTTAAACAAAACCTTGTAAAAATTTCTTCTTCTATAGAAAACTCTTGGAATGCTTTTACTAGTTTGGTTAATTTGGGTAAACTTAGATTACAAGAGTTAAATTGGGTGGTTGAATTAAGAACAAAAATGGGTGATGTGGATGTTGAAGTTAAAAAAGTTGAAGCTATGTTGGATGGTGTTGAGGAATCAATAAAGAAGGCTCACGATGATGGTGGTGTTAACCCTAGTCCAATTAATACTGGTATCATAAGTACTACTTCATCCAGTGAAATCACTGTCACCGGTATTATATTCTCTACTTCAGTCTTGGATGAATGGTACACCAAGGTTGTCGCCGTGGAAGAGTTGGTTCTCGGTGTTGATGGTGTTGATAATAATGTTAAAGAAATTAATCAATTTCTCCTACACGATCGATTCATAGCACCTGATGATTTGACTGATCATATTAAAAATATTATCACTTCTAATGTTTCAAACCTTAAAAATAAGATTAACGCCACAAAACAAAAACTTCAACATGATCGTCGTATAGGAAGATGGTTTGATGATGCTAATGAAGTTGATAAATATATTTCTGATACTAAAAATGAGGTTAAAGAATTAGAGGTTCCCGATTTCATTAATAAAAATGAATGGTCTGAAGATGATTTGAATGTTGTATCTATTGTGAATGAACGAAGAGAAACTTTAAGTGCTATCTTGAATGATTCTAGTCAATGTAAATCAAAAATTGATGACCTTGAGAAGAAAGCTACCGATATAACTAATTCCGTTAAAGATTCAATGGATCGTGAAGATCAAGCTGCGGTCGAATTAATGACAAAACAACTTAAAAACCTCAATGATAGACTCATAAGATTATCTGAGTTTATTACTCTCCTTTTAGAACAAACGACTAAAGATCGTTTTTCTATCATTATAAACATTCTAACATCTATGCAAAGCATGCGTAATCAGATGGCTCAAATAAGAAAAGATATTATTGAATATAACGATGCTGGTTTGGTTCATGGTGACGTCAAAGATCTAGAAGCTCAAATAACCGATTTCGAATCTAATTTATTAACTGATGATTCTGCCATTTCAAAAGCTTTAAGGCATAAACATGCTAAACTTCTCCTTACTATTCAAAATATTCGAATTGCTCTGGCTGAAAATAAACTTAAAATGGCTGCATATTTAAGTCCTTCAAGTCCTACCTCTC